ATTTTTAGGCAAAGTCCAACCAATTTATCTCCTCATCTTGTCTCGCCTTTTTTGTATCATCTTGGACAGTGTCTGTGTCACTCAGATTGGATGCCTATATCCTCCAATTGCATCCGTCTTTGCATACTTTCTGCACTCTTTTCTCATCATTTACCTTAAACTTCACATTATACCCGTTCAAAGCTTCATAAGTTCTAACTGCCTTTTGGAGATCTACCACATCCCTCAATAGCTAGCCGATCTCGAAGTAAGGATTACTCATACTATTTAATGTTTCATAATTTTCAACATATGTTGACTTGTTCGGCACTTTGGCAAATCAATGGAGGGGCTCTTGGATTCTGGCCAGTTTGGAGCACATCCTGCGGTTTACTTGATCTGCGTCTTGAGGGGCCAAGACGTAGACTCCAGGATTAGTCGGCGAAAGTGGACACCTGGGTATCAAAAAAATAAAAAAAGGATTACTCATACTAGCCTCGCCCCAAAACTTCGGAAGGTGACACCCAGCCTCATCATCAGATTAACAATCAGACATAATCTCTTTAAAAGATGGATATTACAAACCATCAAGCTCATCACCGTCATCAACTTCCTGGTTAAGAACCTCATTCGCTACATCCCGATCCGAACCTAACTCAATCCCAATCATCACGCTACGTTCATACAGGGTGTCATCACCTTCAGAGTCCAACTTATTCCCGAATCAGTGAAATTTGGGTCTTCCTCGTTCGAAACAGTGTCTTGCCCATCCATCGCATTTCGATCATTCCCGAATTTGTTAAAGTCTGGGTCTTCCTAATACTCTACAAAATAGAACCCTTTCTTTTTTTTTTTTCCCTAATTAGTCAAATTTTACATAATCTGTTAGTAAAAATCAATGGTTTAGATAAAAAAAAATTATTATTTTTCTCACATACTGCAAGAACATACAGAGACAAAAGCATCGAGAATGGCCAACAGTGTTTGCGAATGTAGCCAACGAAATGCAGTAAAATTTACAAGATAATTACCTTCACTTTATGTTTGCGGTCCTGGATTAAGGAATCAATGTCGTGCATGGGCAGAAGTCCGAATTTAAGACCTAGGGTTTGGGATGAATTTGGGGAAGATGACTTGGGGGAAAACCGTTTGGAAGGTTTTTGACATTTTGTTTTGTTTTCTTAATAATTTTTTTTTATTTTGATATGGAAAGAAAGTTCGTACCCTTAGCTTTCGACTCTTAGTGTCAGTCTAGCAGAATGCTTTCGCCATTGGTATTTTTTTCAATCTCCACGCATTTCATCACTCCACTGAAAATTCCATCTGCTCCTACCATACTCCGATATGATAGTTTCCACCTTCTGTCCAGGGTTGAATCCTGGGATTTGACGATGAACTTAAAAGGCTATCTACAGATGCTTTACGCTAATCATTTCAGATAATGCTTGCATCTTCTATCTTACCACTGTTGTTGAAATAGAGTTAGCCGATTATTCCTCATATATCCTCATTGCTTCTTCTATGAGAAAAGAAGTTTACAATCTATTGGCCTTCTACCTCCATGCAGATTGCTCTGTCAAGTTTTCGCCTATTGCGAAAAATTCCCCACTATTGCATCCCGTAAGAGTCTAGATCATGTCTCAATCCCAGTTTTTATGAATTGTAAGTTACCACGCGATTTCAGTTGATTTGGGCTGGAATGATGAATTGGTATTTGGTTAACGGGCATGAAGTTTCATGTCCAATATTCGTTAATCATGTCAACGAATAAAGTAATTAATTGTTGAAGGAGATAGATTTAGTACAAACGGACAAAGTTCAATAAGTACTATGTAACATTTTGAAATTTAGTGAGTAAACGATAACCATTGTATAAGTTGGGTGATTACTGAAACATTTATTTCAAATTAAATTTGAAAACCGTCTAAAATGGTGCAATAAGAGCCATTTCCTTTATCTTTCTTTGATTACATATAAAAATGAATTTATTTATCAAATTGAGCCTCCCACTGGGGGCTAGCTATGCCAAAAGCATGGGTGGACCCATATAGAGTCATGTGGGATCAACTGACCCAATAAAAAAAATCTTCTGGTTTTCTTAATTCTATGTCTGCCTTTTCTTTTATTATAACTGACCTCAAAACAAGAAATTGGCATTGTTATAACTAACAATTAAAATGAAGCATGCCAAGTTTATAATGTTGCTTTCTCTCTTTCCATTTTCAGCTTATTGAAAAGTGTATTTTCTACACTTATTCGAGGCTTGAAACTATAAAATTTTATGGTTCTTTTAGTAAAATACAAC